AGAAAATGCATATGAATGGCTGACTCTATTTTAACCTTTTTTTGTTTTAAATAAAAAGAGGCATATTTGGAGAAATAGGAGAGAGAAAACACTAGTATACAAAGTAAAATGTTATGTTATATTGCAGAAAAACTTAAAAGTCAAGTTTTTTGAATTTTAGGCTCATAGAATTTCAAAAGAATTTTGATATCTAAATGCAGATTGAAAATCATTGTTTTTAATTTAGAAAAATAAATTTTAGCTGGCATGTAGGCTTTTCTTTTGAGAAAGGGAATGACTATTTCTGTCTTAGAGTTAAAAAATTATTTTAATTTTTAGGTAAAAATTATTTCTTAAAGTGTATTATCTGCCAAGCTGCTGGTTTTTTTCTTTAATTTCAATTGTCCTTCCATCTTTTAGCACTGATATTATGAAATGCTTGTTCAAATGTTTTTATTCTTATTTCTCTAAGACTGAAGACCTTATGCTTCCTTTTCTGAGTAATACAAATTTTTGTGTAAAAAGCCAGACACAAAAGAGTACAAACTGTAGTTGTGGCTCTTTGGGGAGTAATTTCAAGAATGGATGTTTATTAGTCTTATCAATTTCTAAAACTTTGAATCTGCCATTTCTATTTCCATTTGATACATGAACATACAGTGGGTTTTTGACTCCCTGGAACTCCTGAGACCTTATCATCAACTAGAGAATTAATTACTGAAAAATGTACAACTGTAGTAAAAAATTGTAGATTTGTAAAGAACGTTTAAGATTATATGGCTTACTCAAAAAAAAAAAAAAAAAAATTATATGGCCTATACTCTTATTTTTACTGGAAAAAGCAAATACTCTCTAAAATTGATTTCCTTTTCAGTTATCAATGAGGAAATTTAATAAGAGAATTTAAACTCCTAAACCCAACAATCAATTCTAGATATTTCTGGGTATTATATGATATTTTATATGAATTAAAAACTGCATTATTCATAGTGTCTTATCCATATTCTTTACTATTAATATCTATACTCCTGGTGGATATTCATAATATATTGCATTATGATATTACAGATAGTAAATTAATATTTTTCATTGAATTAATTCTATTAAAATTATCTGTTCCATGAAATGATAATAAGGAAAAGTCAGTATTTTTTCAAGCTTGGAAAGTTTAAATTACAGAAAATATTTCTCAATTCAGAAAAATAATTTGCTTTGGCTCTAGCAAAGATAAAAATAATTCTGTTTAAGATGAAATAATGTATTGACAATTTCAGGAATATTTCAAGGGTATGTGGATTTTAAGATGAGTGGTGATCAGTAGAAGTAATTTTTAAATTAATTGTTTTGTTATAATTCTAATGAATAACTCCTTATGAGTAAAGGAGTTGACCTTAAGGTTACTGCATGCAGCTGCTGCATAGGTGGAAGGGTGCCATGACCCTCATGAATAACCCTTGGTGGATTTGTTCAGAGTACTGTCTGCCTGGACATATGGAGCAACCTGAAAGGATTACATGCAAAGGAATAAAGCACTTCTTAAAATTTCACTGCATAAGTAAACTTATTCTATTAAAAAGCACAATTCACAATTATTGCTGTATTGCTTAAAGTATTTTACATTGTAAAGATATTGGTTCTCTCTCAATTAGTCTATAGTCTGAGTTCAGTCCCAATCAAAATCTTGGCAGATTTTTCTTTTTGCAGGAATTTCAATTCGGTTTAAATGGATATATGAGTCAATAACAGCAAAACAACCTTGAAGAAGTAAAAGCTGGAGGCCTTCTGCCATCACTTAGCAAGAACTATTACAAAATTTAGTAATAAATAAAGTCTGGTACTGGTAAAAGGATAGAGAAAGTGAACAATGCAATCAAATAGCAAGAAAAAAAAGAGATCAATTTGAATCTGACCATCTGAGAAATCACAAAAATGCCACTGTCATTAGTGACAAAAGGATGATACTTTCAATCAATGATGCTATTTTCTAAACATAATTTTTAAAAATTATTAACTGGATAAGAAAATATGGTATATTTACAGGATGGAATATTACGCAGCCATAAAGAAAAGCAAAACTATGAACTTCACAGAAACCTAGATGGAATTAGAATCTATAATACTCAGTAATTGATCACAGAAACAAATATCAAAGTACCACATATACTCACTCATAAATGGACCCTGAACATTTATCATAATACTATAAGAAAGGGATTCACAGTAGTAGGACACTTCTAGGAAAGGTGGGGCACATAACATCAATAAGGATATCCACACTTTACCTCTTCGGTGACCACATAGGCACCTAACCCTAAATTGTACCCCACATATTTAAAATGAAAAAAAGAGGAAAAAAAAACATTAACTGAAAAGTGTCTGGACTTTTAACTCGGTTGTATTGTAGGTCTAAATGTAAAATTATAAAAACTTAATGGAAAATATAGAACACTTTATGACCTATTATAGACAAAGATTTTTAAAACATAACAAAAAAATGAGAGAAATTACAATATTAAACTATATTAGAAGTAAGAGCTTCAGCTCACCAGCGACAGTATTTTGACAACTAAAAGTAAGTTATAGAATGAGAAAAGAGGCTATATATAAAATTATGCTTAATACATAAATATTTATAAAATGTTTTGATATTTATATATCATATAATATATAAGTATGTAATATACTTATAATTAGTTCTATATGTTATATACATAGTTTATATATGGATATATGTATGCATATATATTTTATATATATAGCCAGGTCATGTATGGAGAACATGTTGCATAAAAAGCACACCTAAACATCAATAGGGAAAAGAAAGACAGCCTAACGGAAAATAGAAAATGGGTATAATATTTGAATAAAATTTCAATAAAAGAGTGTGTCCACATACTCAAAAAGCATGAGAAAGTAACACAGTGAGATACAACTACATATCAAACAGAATAATATAAATAAATATATGGAAAGTACGGTTAAAGGGAATATAGATCAATCAAGACCTTTAATCTAAAGGAGGTTAAAATGACACAATTACATTGGCACATCACTTGTCAGTATTTACCAAAGCTGAAACTATGTATACTGTGTAACTCAGTGATCCCATACTTAGTTAAACAGAAATCCTTTGCTAGACTATTCATAGCAACACAATTACTAACAGCCTCAAATTGGCAACTAGTCAAATACCAACACCAATAAAATGGGAAAGAGCTCCTGCCCAGTCAAGAAAATAGTAAGTGAAGAGACAACCAGATCACAGGAGAAAGTATTTATTCACGACCCATCTGACAAGGGATTAATAAACAAAATATATAAGGAACTCGACAAATCAATGGGAAAAAATAATCTGATTAAAACATGGGCAAAAGTTTTTAAATAGACATTTCTCAAAATAAAACATACAAATAGAGAACAGGTATACGTAAAAAATGCTCAATATTACTAATTATCAGAGAAATGCAAATTAAAACTGCAATGAGCTATCATCTCATCTCAGCTAATATGGCTCTTATCTGAAACATCAGCAGTAATGAATGTAGGCAAGGATGTGGAGAAAAGGAAAATCTTTTACACTGGTGGTGGAAATGTAAATTAATACAGTCATTCTGGAGAACAGTATGTAAGATCCTCGCAAAACTAAAAATAGAACTACCATATGATCCAGCAATCCCACTACTGCGTATACATCCAAAAATAAGCAAATCAGTATATTGAAGAGGTATCTGCACTCCCATGTTTATTGCGGCACTACTCACAGTAGCCAGGATATGGAATCAACTTAAGTGTCCATAAATGGATGATGAATAAATAAAATGTGGTATATACTGAGGTGGAAGGATCGCCAGAGCCCAGCAGGTCGAGGCTGCAGTGGCCAGGAGCGGCCACTGCACTCCACTCTGGGTGTCAGAGTGAGACTCCAACTCAAAAAAAAAAAAAAAAAAATTGTGGTATATATACAAAACAGAGTATTTTTATGAAGAAGAATGAAATCTTGTCATTTGTGGCAACATGGATGGAACTGGAGAAAATTATGTTAAGTGATAGAAGCCAGGTGCAGGAAGACAAATATCATATGTTTTCACTTATACATGGGAACTTATTGAGACATAGAGTAGAATAATCGTTACCAGACACTGGAAGGGAAATGGACATAATGTGGGGATAGTCAATGAATACAAAAATAAGGTTTCATAGAATAAGGTCTAGTGTTCGGTACCTCAATAGGGTGACTATAGAAAACAATTTATTGTACATTTAAAAATAACTCAAAGGTATTAGTGTTAGGGTGAGGATTTGGATTAGGGTTAACCCAAAGAAATGATAAAGGCTCGAGGTGGTAGAATCAATATAAACTGAAAAAAGTCATGGGAAAAATGAAAATTGAATGCATTTGTATGATTGTCTATCATCTTTGAATCGTAGCAGTAATTCTTTTCAGTGAAGATAATTTTTTTCTTTTTTTTTTTTTTTTTTGGTGAGCCAGAGTCTCACTCTGTCACCTGGAATGCGAGAATGCATTCACAGTATCGTGGCTACTGCAGCTTTGACCTCTGTGCTCAGGCAATCCTTCCACCTCAGGCTTCTGAGTAGCTGGAATTACAGGCACATGTTACCACACTTGGGTATTTTTTTTAAATTTTATTTTATTATTTTATTTTATTTTAGAGAGACGAGGTCTGACCAAGTTGCCCGTACTGGTCTCGAACCCTTGGGTTCAGATAATCCTCTCACCTCCATCTCCCAAAGTGTTGGGATTACAGGCATGAGCCACTTTACCCAGCCAAGATTATTTCTTTGAATTTTAATTTTGAATAGACTGTTGTCACAGTCATTTGGTTCTGGAATATTTAATTATAATAGTCAATGTTCCATAGATTTAAAGTCAGGGAGGAGGCAGTGCAGTGTTCAATGTCATGTAGTCAAATTCTTGACGCTGCTTAGGAAACAAAGCCCAACTAAAGCCCTCAAGCTTAACACTTGTTTAATGGGATATGATGCGGATGCCTGATACTCACAGATATGCAGCCTTTCCTTCTTCAAGTTCTTTGCTTTTGCCACTGGAGCCACTTTTCTTTCCGCACATTCTCCTGGTGATGCACATCAATAACCCACATTGCCGAATAAAGAAGCAACTGACATCTGTTACCACAAGGATTAGCAGAAGGGCAGCAACTCCCAGGCCAATTACTGCTCCAAGCCCAAGACCATTAAAAAGTGTGTCTTGAAAAATAAAGAAAACAACTTCATTAAACCTTCAAATTAGAAAATATTAGACAATTATTTAAAAATAAATCTCATCCGAGAATTCACTAAAGAGACGGAAAAAAACATGATAGAAACTCTCAGAATTCAGTGTAATGATATTATTCTCTGACTTTCAAACAATATTTTAAGCAACTGATATGTTAATGATTTAAATATTTTTTCCAAACTTTCTTTTAGAAAAACAAGTCTAGATAACTCTTCTTTTCTATATACTTCTTGATTCTCTGTGGATAAGATAATGAATAGTATCATATCCCTAACAATACTTTATCAAAAAAATCACAGCCATTGATAGATCATCACAATGTTAAAAGGAAATTGTAGCCGAAACTTCTGTAAGAAAGGTGCTAAATAAATGTTCTATAAGGAATTATTTTAGTTTTAAGACTTAAACTTGCAAATGAATGACTTGAAGCACTTTTCTTTGACAGTGAATGCATAGTAAAATACCTTTCTATGAATATTTAAAGATCATTATTCTAGAACAAATGGCTCACTTTTATTTTTCTAGTTAATATTTTAACAAATATGTGGGATGGCGGGCAAATTTTTACAGAGTTATGGTACTTATGACCCTTTGTTAACTCTTATCAGGAGAAGGTAAGGGACGATGGGGCCATTTTTGTTTGGCAAGTGGTTGCAGGAAATCCCAAAAGGCATACAGAAAACATCCATGAAAGAGATGACTGAGAAAGTAGTGGGAAACTGGGGGGGGGGGGGGGTACAGGGGGTTGGGAGGTGGGGAGGTGGGATTGACAGTAGTTGATATCTGCCTGGGGAAGGAGGGTGGCACACCTCATCAATAAGGGTAACTGCACAATGAAAATTTGTGTACCTAAACCTGAATTTAAATTGTAAACCCACAATTTGAAAACAAAAATTAAAAGAGAGAGAAAAAAAGAGATGACTGGGAATAAAATAGAGTATTCTAATTGATAAGGTAGAAATGGCAAAAGGGGGCATATAATAATAAAAATACATTGTGTCACATGTCTGTAGTTGGTTATGAGGGTAAGATATACAACTACAACAATATAGACAGAAAAATGAGGACAATTAGAGAAATCAATTAAACTGGTGATATTGTGTTATCTAGAAGAAAAAGGAGGATTATTCCTAACATGAATGCTAAGCATTTGTTTACATAACATTATAAAATTCTACTTATTTTAAAGAATAAGATACATTTATCACCCAGCATAATAACGACATGTCCAATATGTAACTGATGTGTAGCACAAGAGACAGATATGTGTACGGACTCAAATTTGGGCTTCTAGAAAACCACTCCCCCCCAAAAATGCAAAACTATATCTGCCTAAATCATATTTTTAAAATTAAGTTTAATATTTTAATAATGACTTGAAAAAATATTGGTCCAAAGTAATTAGAATTACCGTTAACACCCTAAATCTGCCACTACTAGGTTGACCTTGGATATGTCAGACTTGTCGAAATACCAGTTTATTGTTCTATAGAACGACTGAGTCTCATGTCTACATTTGTTTTGTCCAGAAGATATATTTAAGTTCTTCATATGCTTTACACGCTTGGAGCTTACACCTAGGTTAAGAAACATTTTGTTCTTGACATAGTGGCCTGACACTTTACCCAAGCAATGTGTGGTGCACATTTGCAAATGTGCTTCTACAACATCTCCATGACAGGGCAAATGAGAATTCCTTAAGCACTGAGTCAACAGATTTAGAACATTCGTGCCCAAGCAAAATATATATTTTATTGTAATTATTTTGTTTTTTCATAATAAACACAGAATAATGTTAAAGAAAAAATGTTTTTTACTCCACCTTCAGAATCTCCTTCCTCTACCAAATATTAACATGTCACTGAGAAGGTGATAGCTTAGGAAAATTGCTTAACTAGTATCCAGAGACATTCTTGCTTTTCATAGTATTATTCTTTTATTACATGAGTTCATTTATAGAAATGACTAGAGAAGGAATCAAATTTTCCAGGTGTTGGGATTTAATGTCTTTTTTCTTTTTTTCTTTTCTTCATAATCCCTATGGACAAATGTAGACTAGATACCAGCAATTATTTAATAATTTTCAAAGGTATATCTCTAGGTAAGATTTAAAAAATAAATAGTGCCTCATGATGTAAAAATATTGTATCAAGCAAACTAGGATTTTTGTGAGCAATTGAAAAAAAATCATTATGTATATTTTCGTCCATTATCTATTTGCAAATATAAATGACTCTCTTCCTGAATTGATATAACAATACAATGAAGACAACTTAAACTATGAAATATTTTGATTATATATAAACATATAATATTTTCTTCAAAATTCCTATTTAATCCTTTTAGATTTGCTACATGATTCAACAACTAAAGCTCAGAAAAAAGGAGTAGAAGAGAGGAATGAACACTTGGACATTAGCCCTGTGTTTACAATGACATGATGATCGTATCGGTATGTACTGGTTACTCTTTTTCATTTTGGTTCCTCTTACAAGCAGGCAATACATCCTACAGATCAACTGTGATATATCTGATTAAATACGCAAATTCCTATTTACCTTTCCCAAGTATGAAGAGTCTTTCTTTGTTCTTAAATGCACCACATCAGGAGTCAGAAAATTCTGGTTTCATCATTAATTGTTATTGTCTTTGAGGTGAGTCATTTAATTTCTTTAAGACTGCAATGCTTCTTTATTAGAATAGAGACAGTTATAATAAAAATAACAACCACAAACTAGGTCACAAGGTTGTTGAGAAGATTCTTGTGAATGTAGTAATATACTTAACCCTTGGTACTTATCACTCAGGACAAAGTAAACATTTAACAAGTATTGGTTGTTATTATTATCATTTTACTATTATAAAATTCTAGAGAAATAATATTTTAGAGAAAAAATATACCATCAAATACTAAATGTTAAACTATTGTGTAAACATATGTCTTCATTAGTAATCTAAGGTGAAACAGTATCTCCTGTAAGTAATGAGTATCCTCTTAAGAATACAATTACTTTTTTTAGTGATTCAGGTTGGGCTAGTTAGCTTTTAAATAATAAATATTTCTTTATGCGACTTTTTTAGCATTAACCCAGTATATTGATCTGCTTCATTTCTAGCTTTAGAAAGAGCTCTTAGGAAAATTATATTTGTAAAACATTTTATGGTAAAGGAATATTGATGCTTAAATAGTGATTACTTTTTCTATAGAGATAAAATTAAACTTTTTAAACTTATGATTAAAGTTGTTGAAGCTTACTTGAAGTTATTTTTATAAAGAAGTAAATATATTTTTGTCATTGCAAAGAATATAATAAATTTATGCTATAAGTATTTAATTAAGTTTCCTTTTGAAAGTTGAATTTTATATATTTTTAAAATTACAAATGAAGAATATATTTAAGTGCTTATACTTTATCATATCCCATGAAATTAGGCTGTAATAATTACACAACCTAAAATTTTGGGTGTTTTCCTGCCACCAATTTAGTAAGGAATAAAAAGTTTGCTATTTATACTTTGGATATTTCACAAATTAAAACATAATTGCATATAAAGTAACACCATTAAGATTTGGGGACTAGTAATGATTTATTTTCTCAATAACATCCAGAAAATTCTTACTTTATAAATTAATGGTTTCATCATTAATGGTTTAGCTATTAATAAATCAAAACTGAGCACCATTATTTAAAGAATTATAAATTTATCTTTTCTTTTTAGCTTTCCAAAATAATCACACATGTGATTTATTCTATATTTTTATAACAACTCTATTTGTTAGGAAAACAATATTATTAAGTCTACTTTACAGAAGAGAAAACAGATGTCCCGAGCGGTCAGTGGCCTAAGTCACACAAAGCTCTTCAAAATCTCTTCAAATTAGAAATATATAATGAATTACTATTTAACTCCAGGTTTTATATTTTATCAACATTTTATGTTACATATTCACTACTGAATAACGAAAAGATAGGGCTAAAATGTAGTACAGTAAATACATCAAAAAACATAACATTCTTATAGAAAAGTCAATATTTCTGTATCTCCATTATTAATGAAGTAACAACTATTAACGTGAGATACAACAATGTAAATTATTTATCTAATTTAGGTTCCTGCTACAAAATTCCTCTTTAGTGATTATTTTGTACTGTTCTTATAAAAAAGGGGATTTATATTAGAATTTTTTAAAAAGTAAATATTTTAGGAAGCAAAAGTTTTAAACTTCTAACTTTGGTTCATATTTTGTTGTTGAAAGCAAATATAAGAACCAGTCTGAGTTTCTATAACTTCCCTTTCAGCTGCATTCCCCCAGCCTGACAAAATTTTGCAGTTGGCTTACTAAATCTATTTTCCCAGATCTTTATGCAACTGCATTCTAATTTGCAAGAAAACATAAAATCAAAGCATTAAAATTAGAAAAAACAAGCTCAATTCAAATTTGTTATATACAGCAGTCCTTCCTTATTCCAGTTTTGTTTTCTGCAGTTTCAGTTACCTGTGATCGACTGAGGTCCAGAACTATTATACGGAAAATTCCAGAAATAAACAGTTTATATATTTTAAATTGCAGGCCATTTTGATTACCCTGATGAAATCCCACTCTATCCTCCTCTGTCCTACCTGAGACACAAAAGTCATTCTGAAAGAGGAGGTAGTCAGAAGTTGGCTAGGAAGACAGACCGGAAGGGTCTGGAGGAGAGAAGTAACACCTGCAGGAACACCCCTGCACCACCCCAGTTGTATAACATTTGATATTATTAGTTTTTAAGGACCACAGCACTAATAGATTCATAAAACCAGACTTGCTTTTTGACTCCTTAAACAGTTTAATATTTTATTTAACTCTTTTTCTATGTGTATGTGTAATCTTCTCTAAGAAGACTGAGAATTATTTTCAGGATTTGGAAAGCTGCAATAAAGACATGGAGAAAATTTCAAAGGGTCCTAAGATCTCCATCTCCATTAA